ACCTTTTTGTTTTCTGATGGTCTTAGGCGACCCCTGTGAAAGGGTCATTCGACCCCCAAAGGGGTCACGACCCACAGGTTGAGAACCGCTGTTCTAGAGTCTTCTGCCAGATTTTGGATCTGGTCAGATCCTGTCTGGTGAGGCAGCAGAGTACAGTGCTTATGAGTGGGGCCTTGGGGTTCACTAGACTGGCTTCAAATTCTCCATCTTCTCCTTAGTGCTGTGAAACCTTAGAGAAGCTGCTTAACCTTTCTGAGCCTCAAGTTTGTCCTCATCAAATGGAGACGTAAATAACCACTTGGTAGGACTGGTTTAGTGTGAGTGCACAGATGCATGTCAAGTGCATACATGGCGGCTGAGCTAAACGTGACAGTGCACACGGAGCCTGTAAGCCTCAGATGTCACCAGTGCCAACACAGTGTCCTGTGTTGATGTTTTCTGTGTAGTTTATTAGGACCTGGAGGGTCGGCACTTTTGCCTAGATTTAGGTTGCTATTTTATTTGGAATTACCCCTCATTTTTCCTTTTTCTTCATTCTTTCCCCCCATATAACATGTAGTCTGCACACATGTTCTCCCTAAAGCTTCCAAGAGTAATGGCACTGATTTTGTTCTTTTTATTAAATTTCACAGCAGAAACGATCCTACATGGTAGTGTTCACCTGGATGTGAAAGCCGCCTGTGCAGGTCCTCTTATCAGCTTCTAAGGGCGCCGAGAGTCCCATCAGTAGCCCAGGAGACTTCTCGCATTTCTTTTATTTACGTCTTTGGTGACTTGTTAATTTCTTCAAGTTTATTGCCTTCTGGGTGGTCAGGCCTTTATCATTTTTGTATCAGTTCAGACTAAAATATCTTTCATATAAATAAACCTTAAAAAAGAAAAATAGCCTGCCTCAGAGGAAGTGGTCTTTCTAAAGGACCCTGTGCAATGACCCACAAAAGTCACCCATGGTTATCTCGAAGGGCATTTCAAAAGCCCCGTTAAACCTGGAGGCGGTCACTTCTATTAGGGGTTATCAATTACAGACGCATCTTGTTTGATTGCACTTCACAGATGTTGCCCCCCTTTTTTTTTTTTTAAATTGAAGACAAGACCCTCCACCAGCAAAAACGGATACGACCCGCTTTATTGTGATACTGGCTTTATTGTGGTGGTCTGGAACCGAACCTGTGATCTCTCTGAAGTGTGCCTGTAGGCCGTCTTTGGGGGGAAGGTAACAGCTGGGAAGACCACGTCCTTTAGCTGTAATCTCTATTAAGACCTTTTATGTTCTTGTTCCTCTCAGGGGCCTNAAACATGGCACAATTTTGAGTGTATTAGAAAAGTCATTTATTTATCTTGGTGTTTCCCCCTTCACGTGACACAGACGTCCATGGTTGCGAGCTGGGTGTTGGGGACACACAGACCACCATGGATTCTTGTCTTTGACGAGCTCATAATATATCGGGAGGCACAATCGATAAGGGACTAACGGTAGCAACTTCTGATAAGTGGATTCACAGCTATAGATGCAGGACACAGAAAAAGTTTACTTCTATTTTCCCAAAGCCCAACCACGGCTACAGCTCTCCCTCCGCAGTCGCTTCCTAAACTTACCTACTTCCGCCCACAGCACTCTGCGCTTAAACGTACGAACTGAGCCTGCGCCAGCACTAGTGCGCACGCGCTGTCTCTTGCCCAATCGGAATTCCAAACCCGGGATTCCATGTGGGTGGACTAACCTCGGGGGAGGGCGGAGTCTCAAAGCCGAATAACTGACGTGATTGGCTGGCCTTGGGCATATGTGTTCTTTTATGGGCGGAGCCTCGCCTGAGGCCACGTCTAATCAACTGTTCTCCTAATTTGGGAAGGGTCGGGCTCGGGCGCGGGCGCGGGCGTGGGCGTGGCTTGCAAATAAGCGTGGCACCGAGTGCGCCTGCGCGGAGCTCCGGGACAGGGCGTGTCCCTCGTTTGGGTGCGCTTGTACCTCGGGCCGACTGCATCTTTTTCGCCGCGGTATTGTGCCCAGCGAAACCCTGCCCGTTTCACACCCAGCCTGTTAGGTCCTGCCCTCTGTGGTGAGTGTGTGTGGCATTGCACTTGGGGCTGCTTGTCTCCGCGCGGCTGGAGGGGTGCTGGACCCTTGCCACTTCCCTGCTGCGCCCCATCCTCCTCCCTGCAGCCGGACCCTACCCGCTGATACCCACTTTCCAGGGCCAGGGAAACACCGGAGAGTGCCAGCCGGGGTTCTCTCCTTCCTGTCCCTGCACCCTCCTGGCCGTCGCCCACGTGCTTTGTTGTTGTTGTCGTTTGGTACAGATCATGTCCAAGTCTCTGAAAAAGTTGGTGGAGGAGAGCCGGGAGAAGAACCAGCCGGAAGTGGACATGAGTGACCGCGGCATCTCCAACATGCTGGATGTCAACGGCCTCTGTGAGTCCCCGGGCAGGGCCTTCCCGCGGAGAAGCTGGAAGGGCTTATAAGTTTTCCAAGTGACTGCTGGTCGTGGTGTGAGAAGTTGTAATGGTTTACACCCCACCCCCTGCTTGTAAACGTCACTTGTCAAGACCTTAGCTCAGAAAGTTTGCAATCAGATGGGTTCTGTTTGGACTGAAAAACGGTAATGAGACCCAGGGTACGAATTACACAGGTGCAGGTGCGGCTGTCCTCAGCAGTTGTCTCTGATTTGTAGTATTTGGGTGGATTTTCCACACGGTTTCCGTAATAGTCACTTTATTTTTTAGTTGAAAATTATTTTTGAATCATTTTTCCTTTCTGCTGATATATGTAGTCTTTGGCCCTCGAACAAGTGCCACACAAAAATTGCATGATAAGGATTCTTGTGCTTAAAGTATGTTCAGCATGTCTTGACTCATTCATTACCTTTTGCTGGGCTTTTACTATCGTCTGCTTGTTCTATTGTGATGTCTCCCAAACTTTTCCTCTTTTCTCTAGTTTTATTGCCCCTGTGATTTAGTCACTGTATTGCTTTCAGTGTTATTTTTCTGTAACACACATCATATTGTGTTATTCTCCTTTAAACAAGGAATTGCAAACTCAGATGCCTGTGGGGGCCAAGTGAGAATGCTCATGAATTCCTTAATAGGATCCCATCTGAATGGGGCAGCTGTTATACCTGGTGCTCAGATCCAAGCGATCGTTACCACTTGAGGATGTTGGCCCACTGTTGCCAGGTTTTGTTTTGTTTTTTTTCTTTTCCGAGAAGCCAAGAATCCAGATGAAGTTTCCTAATTTTTAGAAGTTGGCAAGGACTTCTAGTATTTGAAAAATACTTTATAAAGGTGAAACAAAACACTCTGCGGACTTCACTTTGGACCTTCTCCCTTAAACACATCTCCTGGTTGTTCATTACCAACAGTAATGCTCCAAGTTCCTTGGTGTGACATACAAAGTGTCCCTGAACCTGATCACAGCATACTTAGCTCCCATCCCTTCCAGGCATTTGGCGTCCCAGCCATACTACTCCATTGCCCTTCCGGAACCAGGGCACGTGCTTTTCGGTCTGTGTGCCTTTACAAATATAGTTTCCTTCCTTTCCACCCGAAATCCTTTACTTTTTATCAAGAATCAGGTCAGATGTCACAGCCTTGATGAAGTCTTCTCTGTCTGCATCAAGCTGACATAGTTACTCTCTCTCCTGTGAAGTTGGATACGCCTTGCTACATGACTCTTCATGCTCCAAACTGAAGGATTGTAATGTGTTTTTAATCTAGATGTCTCTCTTCCCCACTGGGAGACTGGAGGGGCTGAAGCTGTGCAATATTCGTATTTGCCTTCTTCATGATAGTGTCTGGAATAGAGTAGGTGCTCAAAGATATTTGATGAATGAAGGAAAGAGTGATGGATTAGACCTGTGAGTTTATGAGAGCCAGACCAGGATGTGACACTGGAGAGGTCCAGGAGACCCTAAAAGATGATGTATTGCTTATTAGGCATGGAGAGAGCAGAGTCAAGTTGACTGTGAATCCATGGTTTCTGGGACAGAGATTGGGGTGGATGCCATTGATACGTCTCAGAAAAGGAAAGAGTGATGAAAAGCTGTAGACAATTTGCATTTGGTGACCCTTAGGAAGACAGCTTTTGTACTAATTAGCATCTCAGCCTCCTGGCATGTGTTGGCCTCTGTCTGATGGCTTTTCAGTGGCAGCAACAGAGCAGACGTCTCTGGTACTGAATTGGCAGTTGCGGACCTGGGCGTGTCCCCACACTGTCCCTGCCTGGCTCCACTGTCATTCTGATGATCCCTGGGGGCAATGCTTCAAGGGAGGGAGGAGATGGTGAGAGTCAAGCAGGAGGCCTGGCTGGGCTGTACTCTTGGCCCTGTCTGTGGCTTTCTGTTCCTTGGCACCATTTTCCTCATGGGCTTGAAGAAAGAGGTTGCTCTCAGCAGAGGATTGTTCTGCTTCTCAGTGTTGAAGAGGATNTTTCAAAAGTATTTTATAAATTGTGATTTTGCCATATTTTTAACTTTTGGTTTGGTCATTAAGGTAGTTGTCTGAAAATTAAAGTTTCCCAAAAGGCACATTACAAACACATTCTTGTGCATATGTAAGCAGCTTGTTGCTGGCAGTCCCTGTAATTTCTTGGCAGTCCTGGAGGTTCATTGCATTTTTTAGGGTGGTAAGTACCGTCCTGTATTTTTGGTTGATTAGTTATCAAACAACTGAAGAAAATTTAAGTCCTGTTAATACCTTTAACTCAAAAGAGGAAAAATACCTTTATGAAACTTCCTCAAAAATACCTAAAAACTTACAAAATAAGAAGGATAAAAATGACTCATTTTAAATATACTGAGGCACAAGAAAAGGTTCTATCAAGACAATCACAGATAATGAAATCTTGGCATCTAATGATGCTTAAAAGACGATCTCCAATGCCCTAATTTTACAGATAACACCAAACAAAACACCAAATTGATGAGCTGCCCAAAATGCACAGCAAGATTATGGCAGAGGCAGGATGGGTAGGATCAGACACCCAGGCCAACTGTTTCGTTTTGTTTTTTAAAATTACACCCTGTACTTTCTTCCTGTGCAGTGCCATGTCTGGATCCCCAGGGCTATCTGGTCTAAATAATGATGGTTTTCATGTACAAATTAACGAATTGAACAAATTAACACCAACACTTAAAAGAGCTTTGGCTTTAAGTATGTCAGTCTTGGAACTGTCAGTTATAAGTCTGGTAATGTCAGTTTTATAATAATGATTACTGCCACAGCCAACAGCACGCTTTTGTTTGTTCAGCACTTTTAATTTTACTTCACCCACATCATCATCATCTGCTCACTGCTCATGGAGAGTTCTACACCATCAAAAGTACACAGCAACCTTAATTACTCTCTCCTACAATTACTTTATCCAGTTCTTGGTCTTCCCACGGTCT